GCTCCTGCAACCTTGGCGAGTCACCCAGCCTCTCCAAGCACCAACTTCCCCATCTTTTAGACAGAGACCATCATAGAACAGAAGCCCTTCTCTTGAGAGTGTCTATAACTACTGAACGCATAAACAGTAGAGACAGACCGCCTGCATTCAAATCCCAACTCCACTCCTTCCTGGCTGTGTGACCTTGGGCAAATTACTTAAACTCTCTGTGCCCCAGTCCCTTCATTTGTAAAGTGGTGTTAATAACCCTCCCATCACGGGTTGGGGAGCAGGCATTTGTAAAGTCCCTGGAACAATGGCTAACATGTAGCGAGTGCCACAGGAAGCACTAGCGATCGTAATGAACTTTCCCCGAAGACACGTGTGGAATAAATGCATCTCCCCGGGGGCCACCCCGCGAGGACACTCTCCCTCCCCAGTGCTGCTGGGGGCGGACATCAAGACGCCAGTGCTGATGGAGGGGCTGAAGGCCTGGCACGGCGGGGCCCCCGAGTCCTACCTTTAAACAGCGGGGCAAGCGAAGGAGGGGTTTCACACCGAATTTCAAGTACAGAAGATCCAAGGGCAGGAGGCAGAGCATGTCCATCTGAAATACCAGCCGGACGTCACAGTAAAACAGGTGAGCACGGGTGGAGGGCAAGGGGATTGAGGGGGGTCTCTCCCTTCAATGGGGAGGTGAGGGCAGAGTGCCCCAGGAAGGCCTAAAGCAAGAAGGCAGAAGGCGTCCCACCAGCAAACCCCTGTTTGGCCTTAAAGCCCGTGTCGCCAACCCCAAGGGCAGCTTCGTTACTGTGGATCGTGGCTGCCAAGCCACACAGCGGGAGCTGGCGTGGTACAGACACATGGAAAGGTGGCCTCTGAGAGCCACCCAGGCTGGGCTAGTCTCCTGGGGCCTGTGGCCTGCAGGACACTTCCATGGGAGATGGGACCTACATCCTGCCACGTGGCAGGAACCGCATCACAGGGGCCCCCAAAGCACCCAGGGCCTCTGAGATGCCACCTTCCGAGACCCCGAGGACACTGAAACTTGCATCCCTGGTACACACCTTAAAGCGCTGAGACTTCAGGTAGTTATTTCGCATGTCCTTTTTGTCCGTCTGGAAGAAAATGGAATAATGACAGTGAATTCACCCTAGAGCTTAATCCCTGACCCCATGGGGAGCAGTAGTGGAAACCCTCAAAGAGCCTCGTCTTTGTATGAGAGCACCAGGTCACCCGGCTGGATTCTGATTGCTTGGCTGGAGAGCATGAATGTCACACTCTCTCTCTTGCCCATTGGTCCTACCCAGACCAGCTTTATTTACCGAGGATCAGGCCGGAAGGAGGTTGGTCAAGGGATTCTCTTTCCTCTAAATTGTTGGCACACAGTGGAGCAGATGCCACCAGTGTGGAATTTTGGAAAGTGTGGGACTGTGTCCCCCTCTCCTGATAAGCCAAAATCAGAGCCTCAGTTTCCTCCCTGGTAAGCGAGGGCCAGACCAGAGCACCGGGTCTCAAACTGGCAGCCTAGGAGAGCATCAGCGTGTTATTCGCAGGACCCCCAGGTAATGTCAGTTGCCAGCAGTTACCTGTGCCAAGCACTCTGCGTATGTCATTTCAACTCATCCCCACTGCCATGCTATAAGCTGGGAACAAAGTCTGTCCCCATTCTAAAGATGAGGAAACTGAGGCTTATAGAGGTGATTCAGCTAGTTGTGGTGAAACTGGGATTCGAACCAAGTTCACATGCACTCAAGACCATTCTCTGGACCACTTCTCCATCTTTAAATCCATTAGGTGGTCCAGGGACTAATCCACCTATGAACAATACCTGATGTGTTCATTTGAGCGTATTACAGGCGTGTCAGATAAGCCACTGTGCTGCTGAACAAGCATAGGCAGCAGTTCCTGAGATTTCCTTGTTCGCTTATTTTGTTGTCTCTGACAGCATCCAGGGTCAGTCCCCTGAAGGCTCTGGCTGGGGGGTCTACCCCTGATCACCCCCTCCTTCTGCCTGTGACTCACAATGATGTCCCCGCCTCTGACAAACTGCAGGCGCATCTGGAACAGGGTGATGTCCAGGAAGTAGATGAGGTCGCACAGGTAATCCATCAGCAGCCAGAGGTGGATGTTGCCCGGCGTCTGGTAGGGGAAGGCCCAGCGCACGGGAATCAGCCAGCAGTTCCAGTTCCAGGCCAGCACCACGAAGAACAGCCACAGGATGTACATCAGGTCTGCAGGAAAGGACGGGGCAGGAATGTTCTAGAACGTCAGCCAGAAAAGGCTCTTCACTGGCGACATCAGGTGAATGAGGCATCCTCGTTCTACCCGTCTGCACTTTCCTCCAGATACTACATGTGGCACTTTTGGAACTGGGTGTCAGTGTGTAAAACTATCTTTGCTTTAAAAATAAATCACTGCTGGGCCCTAATAAATTCGAATACTCTGAGGAGGGAATATGGTGACATTATTGGCTAATAAGACAGCTAACGAGGAAACCCTTTTGCTTTCACTGTTTTTGAAATTTTTCCAAAACTGTGTTTCCTGCCTTAGTAAATACGGAATAGTAAACGCTGCATGGAGGATGGCCAGATGGGCGGACAGACAAGTGGAGGGGTAAGTGGACAGACACTGCAGATCACCTGATCATTTTAGAAGCCCAGGGTTGGAGTCTTGCCCCAGAATGATTTCCTATGTGACCCTGAGAAAGTCCCTCTCTGGCACCTGCCATGCCCTTCTCAGAGAAGTCACAGGAAAAGGTCAGACAAGAGAAGCAGGGAGGTCCTTTGTAAACTGTAAAGCACTGTGCACACACAAAGTGGCGTTATTCCTGAGGAACGTGGAATGGCTTAGAGGGAAGCCAGGGGAATTCAGTTTAGACGCTGGAAGAATTTCTGCCCTTTTCTGCCCAAAGCAGGGGTCCTGGGGAAGAGCCAGCATGACCAGAGCAAGAAGACGTGGCCAAAAGTCAGGAGCCCTGGGTCAGTATTAACTAATCGTGTCTTTAGCCTGGTTACCTTCTCTGTGCCTTAATTTCCTCATCTGTAAGATGGGTGTGATCTTATGTTCCTATTCCAGGGACATTTGTTGTTGTTTGTTTGTTTTGAGAATTAGGTGAGCGAGTGTGGAATCATTTTGACAAGCACAAAAGGTCACAAACCCAGGACATCCATGGCCTCTCACCCTGCCTCTCTTGTCTCCCCACAACCAACCCTCCCTCATCCCCCTCCCACTCTCCCGCCCTCTCCTGTGACCCAGAGGGAGCACCCTCTCCCACCGAGGACTCACTGGTCAGCGGGTCAATGCTCTGGGGAAAGCGGTACTTCTTCCAGGGGCGGCGTTTGAACCTGCAGCAGAGCATGTCGCAGTAGTGCTCCTCCGCGGCCCGCTGGGCTTCGGCCAGCTTCGTGTCTGGAGGCGGCTCTGGGGCTTTCTTGGCTGGGGCTGTGGGATGACACTGGTGACAATCCGACCCAGCCCTGAGGCCCAGGTAGAGGATGCAGAGAGAAGGGTCCCGACTGCAGACCCTGGCATCGGAGCTGAGGGCTCTGGCACCATGACACCGTCTGCTGCGAGCTCTGTGTGCAGAAACTAGGGTGCTCTCCCGGAGCGAACCCCACAGCTCCCTCTTCAACGGAAGCCTGGGAGCCCACCCGGAAACTCCTGCCAGCTCCCAGTCTGCAAGGGCTTCTCAGAAGCCACCCAAAATGAGGTATTTCTGGGCAAGTTGGATGTTTCAGTGTCTGTGTTTGGACCCCCTTGGTTCTCCGATGGTTTAGGGGCATTGTGTACCCAGCGCTCCCCGCACCACGGTCGAAATGCTAAAGGGCCCAACAAAATCGCAGCAGGGAAATGTTGCTCTAAGTTTCTGAGAAGGAATCTTAGCTCCTTCATCTCTAAAAAGAGAGGCTGGGAGGAATCACAGCCGCCCTGTGCAGCTACAATGATGCTTTTTGTGGCCTAGGGATTGGCTCTGACAGGTTCACTATGGCTCTGTCTCTAGCTTTGGGGCTGGGAAGTCAGGTTCTGCGAGGTCTGTTGTGGACACCCTGAGTTCCAAGACACAGATGTCGTCTGGAAAGACCTGGAAAAATCTCTCTGACAAGAGAGCATGTTTCTTATTTCCTCCTGATGCCTTACGCTCAGATGGTGTCCACAGCCTCCTCTGGAACTAGACAGTCTTATTTTTCAGAGGCATCCCTGGGTGGTGCCACCCACCTGCCAGTGGCAAAGGGGCAGGAGGGTCAATGAAAGTACTTGCCCTGTGGGGGAGGGAGCCAAGTACAGCTGGATTGTTGGCCAGAACGCTGATCTTCCCCCTCCTGGGTACAGATCTAAACTTACACACACGGGGCCCCAAATCCAGAGCATGCAGATCTGGGCTTCTCTCATGCACCCCAACCCTTTCCTTATGGCCACCCTCACCATGAGCTGGCAGGGGGCTTGGGAGTCCCCACCCCATCCCTGGCCAGGTGGGCCACCTCCAGCTCCAGACTCACAGGGCTGGGGGCTTTCCTCATCAGAGGTGACATCAGGGTCGATGAGTTTCTCCTTCACCTTCTCTGTCCGCTCCTTGAAGAGCTTCACCAACTCCTGGAGCCGGTCGTTGATAATGGTGCTATTCTGGCTGGCCGTGGAGACGGCACGGTCCTGGGCACTGTGGGAACAACACCCACAGCTGAGCAGGAAGGGACCCCTGTGGCCTAGACCAGAGCCAGGCAGCGTTTGTGCCCCGCCGTCCAGCAGAGCCTGAAGGAGGTAAGTCCCGCCCTTGTCTCCTTCTGACACCAGAAACCGCAGACCCACTGCAAAATCTCCTAGGAGGAAAGTCAGTCTGGGGACAACGATCAGGTGCTCTGGCCCAGCTTCTAGAAAATGTACCACGTAGGATCTGATTCAGATGGGCAGCTCTGAAAAAACTTTGATTCCACCTCTAATTTAGGGGGAAACTCTTAGAACTCAGTTTGGAGTTCGGCCAAATTGGGCTGTTAGTCCCAGTGTGGGACATGTGTCTGGGGACAGAACAGAGAGGGGAACAGGGCTACTTTTTCAGGTTTAGGAAATAGCTGGTGGAAAAAGCAGTGCAGAAACATTACACATCCTTTAACTTACAGGAATTAACGTTTATGTACTGGTAGCAAGAGAGGGACAGAGAATGCATGAGTCTGCCTGGCACCCTACTCAGCGTGGGGTGAGTCCTGGGGGAGTCGAGACAGCGTGTGATCAGCTCTCCACTGAGTGGCCTCACTGTGATCATCTTGCTGAGCTGAGTATTTTTCACACACAGCCACCACCCAGCCGGGGACTGCATTTCCCAGGTGTGGTTGTGCGAGCTGTCACCATGGGAATGTGAGTAGATACGGTACATGAAACTTTGGGCTGCCTTGCTGAAGAGGAGAGGCCTGCAGTTCTTGCTTTCTCATGGTGGCCAGTGGGACCTTGGAAGCCACACAGAGAAGGTGGCAGAGCCACTGTCAACTGGGTTCCTAAATGATTGCATGGAGCAGACCCTTCCACTGCCCCTGAAACACACAACTAGTGAGACAACTATGACATAGGGCATACATTCTTGTTCCTTAAGCCACTGAACCTTTGGGGTCTACTCGTTACAGCAGCTTACCCTAGCTGATACGTGGGCCTCCAAGCTGACCTCCTTAAGGGTTTTCAAAGGTCATTTGAATTATTGCATCTCACTTCTGCCTTATTTTCTGATATTACACCCTAACCCTATCCCTACCCTACTGCATAAAATATGCCTCCACTGTGTGCCAAATGGACAACTGACTATGGGTGAGGCTTGGATTTTTTTTATCCCTGCTTCACTTTTTTTGAACTTTCCACAACTCTGTTAAGCACTGCATAGATTTATGGATAGAAAAAAATGACAGGAAGGAGGAAGCAAAGCCTGCTGTCCCCTGTGGCTAGGCCAGGAGTTGTGGCCAGGCAGGGAGCTTGATGGGGACTCCAGGCCACAGCCCACAGCCACCACGGCATTCACCATCACCCAGGGCTACTGGAACCCTTGAGAGAACACCTTCCATTGGCCCAGCCCTTGGACAGTTAGATGTCAGAGACCCAGGTGCCAATGGCATCACAGTGGCCTCTATGTATTGTACCGAAGACCAGCTATATCAGAACCACCTGGGAGCTTGTGGAAATGCAGATTCCCAGGGCCCACTGCCTGTGGCTCTGAGCTAGCGGAGCTGGGTGGGGCTCCCCAGGGTGGGACCACTGGAGATCCTGGCCGTCCTCCTTGCCCCCACTGGCCTTTTCAGGGGTTCAGCAGCAGGACCCCCTGCCGGGGGCACACCTCAGCATCTCCTTTACAAGGGGTTGTCTGCCTAGAGACACCTCCCTCTCTGAGTGGGTCATGGGCACAGCTGGGCCCAGAGTTCCAGCCCACTCTGCAGATTTTGCAGGACTCCTGGGCCAGCCGCAAGCAACCTGGGCAGGGGACTCTGCCCTGTCCCACTGCTCAGAAGTCACTGGCAAAGTGTGCCTTCCAGTGCAGGGTTCTAAACACACCCGTGCTCCCTCCCACCTCCCTCTCCCCACCCTTCCCTGCCCAGCCTTCCAACTCTCCGAGACCCCAGCGGTGGCTCCGACTCACTCAGTGTCCTGTGGGGTAGTGGGGTCTGACAAGGCGACCACCGGGGACTCAGCTGGTGACAGCACCTTGAGCTCTTCGGCCTCATCATCCTGAGAGGGCAGCCTATTCCTGCAAGGACACAGATGTACAAGGGGCCTTGAGTGAGGGCAGGGTCCCCAGGTCACCGTGAAATGACTTTGACCCCTAAAGATCACCTAGAGCCAATTCCTGGGTAGAGGGAGGGTGGAGGGTACGATGCTGCCAAAGGAGGGAGGCAAAAAGGGAAAGGAGAGAGGTGCAGTCACTCTCTGGCCCTCAGTCTCCACATCGGCCCAGTGGCCTGGTGCAAAGGTGACAGCACTGACTCGGTATCAGGCAAACTTGAATTTGCAACCTAGTCCTGCCTGCTGCCAGTGCGTGACCTTGGCAGATTACTTTTACACTCAGCTGGGACCCAAACCCGAGTCTTGCCAGGCTCCAGGCCGGTGCTCGTCCCCAGTCTCCACCACCATGACTCGGGATTCCGGCATTAGGGTTTCTAGGGGGACACAGGAGAGACACGCAGCAGCCACCTTTATTCCAGAAGGCTCTGAAACTATCCCGTTACCTTCTGCCAACTCGCCTACATTGGCAAAACCCGTGGATTCACTTCTTTCACACTGGAATCGAAAGGACAGCCCCACACAAGAAGACTGGGGCCAAAGGTCCCGTAGCCGAGAGCTAAAGTCAGTCCTCCTGCCGCCAGTCCCGTGCGCCCTCCCGAGCCTGGGGAGCACGCGCTGCCCCAGAGAACCCAGAGCCAGGACCGGAACAGCAGCTCCCGGCCCCGCACCGCCCAGCGTCTGTCCCTGTGCTGAGCACCTCGCGGAGCAGCAGCTCCTTAAATTCTCACAGCCGTTTCGGTAGACAGGTGGTGTTTTCATCCTTGTCTTACAGTGGGAATATGGACGCCCAGGAAGGTTAAATGGCTCGCCTTAAGGCTCACATCTTGTAAGTGGTGAGCTGGGATTCACTCCAAACCACAGCCTTAAGCTGCAAGAAGGGCCTTGCCAGAGTGGCCCTCTGTCGGGCCTGTGGTTTCTGTGGCTTCGTGGCTCCCATCAGTTGCTCCCGAGGCTCATTCTGTCCCTGCCCACGATCAGCCCCACCAGCCTCAGCTCTAGGGGCAGGCATCAGAATTCGCACCTCTTGGGGGCAGGCAGGGGTTCACCCCCCTGTTTCTCATGGGCACGTCCAATTTAGCACCTGTTCATTTGTTTGGTTACTTGTTCGTTGTCTATCTTGGCCCCACTAGAATGTCAGCTCCACCTTGATGTATCCCCAGCACCTGTGACAACATTCAATAAATGTTTCTGAATGAATGAATGACAGGGACAAGAGGAGCCTCACAGGCCCAGTTCACATGCAGAAGGCCAGAGGCTTGGATTCTAGTTTCACATGATCTTGGTCCCCCGCCTGCCTCTAAATATGCCCCCTCGCCCCCAGCTGGGTCCATATAGCTTTTCCGCCCATATAAAGGGAACAGAGGTAGGTAGATCAGATGTCTACAAGCATGGTGGCACCATTTCTGGAACCTCCCTTGTGCCTTGTGCATAATTCAGTGAACTCAACACAGGAACGGATGGAGCAGTGAGCTGCGTGCTTAGGCTCAATGAGATTGTCGCTTTTCTCGGTGTTAAAATCCAAGAGCCCTCAATTTGCCACATCCAGCCATCTGCATTCTGGCAGGCTCCAGACCTCAGCTGAGAAACTGCTCAGGAATTCATGGATGAGGAAAAAATTAAGAAAAAAAGAACCATTTCTCCAGCCAGCCAGTGCAGAAGAAGCACTGACAGCTGCCCTTCCACTGAAATAGTCATTCGTAAAGCACTGCCCTGCTCTTGACAACGTGCCTGAAGCTGTATTCAGGGCCTTCTGCCAGTTACCTGCCTCAAGGTCAACAGCAAGTCCAGCCACTCGGCCACAACTTTGTCTCAAGAGGCATAAAAATGTGCCCAGCCCGGACCAAGAGTCCCACTCTTGAGAGAGGAGCCCGAGGACAGGGAGCAGAAGACCAAACACAAGGTCACGGTGCCATGATGACGGTGCCCAACAAGAGAGGATTTGTTAGATTCCTCCCGGCACGTGGAGCCGGAGGAACGTCACACAGCCATCACGACTGTGCGTTAAGGAGACGGCCAGCAATACGGAAACGGGCTCATGGAATGAGATGGCAGGATATTTGGGCATTGCCAGTCTTATTCTATTACAACAATGCAACAACAAATACTTCTGTACAGACCAACTATTCCTGAATATTAGGAAAGGTTTTTTTTTCCCCTACCAAAAAAATTCCTCAGAAAAGAGTGAGTTCCTACGAGTTCTCATAAAGGCTCTTCCATTACCTGATGCTTTCTGATTCTTTTATTTATTTTATTTTATATTTTATTTTATCATTTTATTTTTTTGAGACAGAGTCTCACTCTGTTGTCTGGGCTAGACTGCCGTGGTGTCAGCCTAGCTCACAGCAACCTCAAACTCCTGGGCTCAGGCGATCCTCCTGCCTCAGTCTCCCGAGCAGCTGGGACTACAGGCATGTGCCACCATGCCTGGCTAATTTTTTCTATATTAGTTGTCCAGCTAATTTCTTTCTATTTTTAGTAGAGACACGGTCTCGCTCTTGCTTAGGCTGGTCTCAAACTCCTGAGCTCAAATGATCTTCCTGCCTCGGCCTCCCAGAGTGTTAGGATTATAGGTGTGAGCCCCACGCCCAGCCTGGATCTTCAATTAAAACCACACGGAATCCTAGGCCTATCAAAGAGGCATGGAAGAAAATACAGAGCAATAAAAACATCATCTTACGCGGTGGTATTAGAGCTGATTATTTTTCTAGTGTTCTGTGGTGTTTCCATTATATTATCTAATAATAAAGTGAGGGGAGGGTACCAAAAGTACAGGTAACAGAAGCAAAAATAGACAAGGGGGACTATATCAATCTAAAAACATCTCCATAGCAAAGGAAACAATCAACAGAGTGAAAAGAAAACCTACAGAATGGGAGAAAATGTTTGCAAGCCATGTATCTGATCAGGGGTTAATATGCAAAATATATAAGAAATTCCTACTACTCAATAGCAAAATAAACGAACAAATTACAAAAAAGTGGGCAAAAGACATGAACAGACATTTCTCCAAAGAAGACATACAAATGGCCAACAAGTATATGAAAAGGTGCTCAACATCACTAATCGTCAGGGAAATGCAAATCAGCACCACAGTGAGATACCACCTCACACCTGTTAGGATGACCATTATTAAAAAAACAAAAAGCAAAACCAGAAAACAAGTGTTGACGAGTATGTGGAGAATAGGAACTCTTGTGCACTGCTGGTGGGAATGGAAAATGTATAGCACTATGGAAAATAGTATGGAGGTTCCTCAAAAAATTTAAAATAGAACTACTGTCTGATACAGCCATCCCACTTGTGGGTACATATCCAAAAGAATTGAAATCAGGATTTTTTGTTTGTTTGTTTGTTTTGTTTTGTTTTTGTGGTTTTATAACTTTATTTGATGTATCTGACAGCCAGCGGTTAGTTCTCATCCACGTTGACTGCAGATTTTTGAAAGTGGTAAGAGCTACTTAGGTGACCAAAGTATAGAGCTTGTTTGGTGATTCTTCATCCTCATTACGCTTTCTGGACAACTGCACGTGGATGCAGCGTGGGACATTCCCAGACAGCTTCGCTGAGCCTGGTATCGATGCTCACATCTGGAGTTCCCACCTTCGCGGCAAATTTCCGGATCTCTTTGAGTGGCCGAGGGACACGCTTCTTGGAGCCCACCGCGTGGATGCGCTCGTGAGTGTTGATGATGTATTCTTGGGTCACCCCCTTGTTGATGGCAGAACGGCCCATCTTCTTCTCGACACCCTTCTTTGCAGAGCCATTCTGCCAGGCCCGAGTTCTGAAATCAGGATGTCAAAGAGCTATTTTCCCTCCCACGTTCATTGCCACATTATTCGCAATCGCCAAGAGGTGGGAACAACCTAAACGTCCATCGACAGATGACTGGATAAACAAAATGCGGTATATACATACAATGGAATATTATTCAGCCTCAAAAAAGAAGGAAACGCTGTCATATGCTACAACATGGATGAACTTTGAGGACATTATGTTAAGCGAAATAAGCCAGTCACAAAAAAAGCCAAATACGGCACGATTCCACTTATTCGAGGTATCTAAAGTAGTCAAATTCATAGAAACATAAAGTAGATCGCTTCTCAGCCTTTTGGCTGAGGTCAAGTGTAGAAACAAAGTAGAATGGTGGTTGCCAGGGGCTGGGTAGGGGTGCAGGGAGGAATGGGAGTTGCTATTCAATGGGTATAGCGTTTCAGTCGTGCAAGATGGAAAATTCTAGAGATCTGCTGTACAACAATGTGTACATAGTTAACAATACTATACTGTACACTTAAAAATTTGTTGAAAGGATTAAAAAAAAAAGACCTGGCAAGTTATAACCATATGCAAGTTTTAATAATAGCATCCTGTCAAAATATAAAATAAAATTAGAGGGCAGAAATTAGTTCTGTCACATTTATCATATACTATTATTATACTATTTATTATTATATCATATTATATTATATATATTATTATTATATTACCCCTTCTAACCTATGAGTTTGGATCATAATCCTGGAAGACACAATCCCAAATGCCATAATCCCAAATATTAAAATCTCAAAAGATCGAAATCTCTAATGTCTAAAATCCCCCAAATCACAATCATGGGATGTGGTCTGTACATGAGCGCATGTGGAATGAATTTTCGTGGACCCAAAACAAGATAGAAGCATGGCACAGAAGGTGAGAGATGTAATAGGGAGTGCTCATGTCGGTGTACATCAAATCATAGAACTTCGAAAAGAGCAGGGCCATGTAGAAAATGTGAACATATCCCCTGATGTCCTAAAAGAAAAAAAGCAGCTATTCATCATGACACAAGACTTCAAAACACAGCTTATGCCCGTGAAAGTCGGCCAGCTCTTACAGACTATCTTTGTGTGACCGTCCATAATCTATCCCTGTAATACTGTTTTTCATATGTTGAATTTTCTTTTTAGTTTTTTAGGGTTTTATTTTCTTTTTCTTTTTTTTTTTAGTGTTTTTTTCACTATTTTAAATTGCTAGCATTACTTTTTACAATTCACTATGCGATGTATTTCATCTTTGCATTGCTTTCAATATTGGAGGTATAAACTGTGCAGAGATTTTTACAGAGTCCCAATTTGTTTTATGAATTTTTAGCAAATTTGACTCGACAAAAGCACATTATTGCAACGTTGACTTTGTGTGTCAGCACCGTGTGTGTACACAAAAATGTTGAAACTTCCTGAATAAATGAAGAACTGTCCTTTTTATACATCTGCATTTGTGGAAGGTAAAATTGCTCAAGATCTTGGCTCTTTGAATGACTGTCCATGTGGTGGTGACCCCTCACAGTTTTTCATCCATCTCATCAAAAGACTTAAGGTGTTCACTGATGACTGCAGTTGTAAAGTTGGATGCACACAATTACCGACCATAGTAATTTATAGATATGCATTTGTACATTTCCCTTTTTGACCAATTTGTTTATAAACACGGGTCGTATGCTCATAAATGTTATACTGTGCAACTATCATTAGTATGCCTAACTGTTTATGCTTGCAAAAATATTTATGTTGGGTTGGCTACAGTGGCTCTTGCCTGTTATCCCAGCACTTTGGAAGGCTGAGGCAGGAGGATCGTTTGAGGCCAGGAGTTCAAGACCAGCCTGAGCAACATAGCTTCTCTAAAAAAATATAAACAATTAGCCAGGCATGGTGGCATATGCCTCTAGTCCCAGTTACTTGGGAGGCTGAGGTGGGAGGATCGCTTGAGCGTGGGAGTTCAAGACTGCAGTGAGCTATGATTGAGCCACTGCACTCCAGCCTGAGACCTCATCTCTAAAAAAAAAAAAAAAAAATTAGAAATTAGAGAAAGAAAGAATGTTCTTATTCCCTATTTACTTGTAAAATGGCCCATAAAGTGTTCTGTCATGTTTTTATGTTTCTGAAATGTAAATAAATAAATATCTTT